TTCTATACGAGATTCTGTAGAGCACGTACTTGGTGCGTGGTTTGTACTTGAACTGAATGCTTAACTTAAATAAGACATCGATTTGTTTCTGACTATGCTCCTTATTCGTGATACATTGGGCGCGTTCATAAGACTTACATAGCTATTGTCTAACCGTTGCACATAGGAGCATTTATGCAGAAAACCGGTCAAAAGTCAGATTTGCCAATTGTTGCAAAAGTCCAGTAAAATATACAATTCCTAAAGCTAAATAACTAAATAAATTTCAACCTGAAAACAGTCAATGCTGTGATTTTTTCATCCATTCGAGTTATCTTGTTTCTTCGGTAGTTGCGTTTTAGTGACGACCTATTTAAAGAAAAAACCTTTTGAACATGGAAGAAGAAGGCCATTTCTATCATTTAAGTCAAAATTTAAGTAAATTGCTTTTAATATGGCCTTCTTTTAGAAAATTTAAAATCGGTCTATTTTGATATTTTTGTTGAATAATATTTTTAAATATTGATATTTTTGTTTACTTGTCAAGGTTTGTCAAAGTTTGGTTCTTTGAAATATATGTAACTACAGTTATCTTTGAGCAGGCATAATTTGCTGGCATGTGCTCCATTTTCATTTTCGAAGGACGGATTTCGGATTTTATTGGATTCGATTCGATGTTATAACGAGAGTCGCATTGTTAACAGGTATAAGTCTGGCCTTTAATTAGGTAAAAATTATATAATGATTGAATAATATTTGTCAAAGATTTATGAAAAACCCCGATCCGCCGCTAGTTTTTTTCCAACTTTTTTCTTTTTCTGCAAAAATAACTTAAAAATATAAGAAAACGAATGCCGAAAAGTGTATTCGGGAGTCAACAGCTTTCATCGAAACTGGGTACCCAAATTTACTGAGTTGCATACCCTTTAATTTTGAAGTCCTCGGGAGATCCTATGAAGGACTATAAAACTGGACAATAATGCTCTCTAATCGGCTTCGGCGAGAACGGTTATGTTCTTAGAAAAATCTATCTCATTCCTTTTTTATTTATAAGTTATTTACTTAATTGCAATTGAAAAACGAATTCCGTTCTTGTCTTTTTCTGAAAAAGTTTTTTGTGGACTTATGGAACTGAATATAACTAAGTATTTCACGAAAATGATTCTAAGATAAGAGTATAAAAACACATAAAATAATTTTGACCGGTTTTACTATGCAAATACTCCTCTGCGCGTTAACTCTTTTTGTCCTAGAAACGCACAGTTCAGTAGTTCCGCCATTTTTTCCATCGCGAAATTTTTTCGCTACCTGTACTCAGCGTGTTTTGCTCAGCCTAAACAGATGATTATCGGCCGCTGTGGTGTAGTGGTAAGCAGTGCGCGCTTTCATTCCACAGTACCTGGGTTCAAGCCCTGGTCAAAGCAACATCGCAAAAATATAGAAAAAAGGTTTTTTTCTTAACTCGTCCGAGTGTATTTCTGCCATGAAAAACAGCTTCTCATAAAAATACAATCGCCGTTCGGAGTCGGCGTAAAACTGTAGGTCCCTCCACTTTGTGTGACAACATCAAGGCGCACGCCACAAATCGGAGGAGAAGCTCGGCCAAACACTAACGTATGTGTAAGCGCCAATCTATTATTATTATTAACAGCCCGATTCTGTGCACTTGATAAATTGAAAATCTTTATAATTTGTCAATTTTTTATTATTTATCAAGAATTGGTATTCTAGCACAGAAATGAAAAGCTCTTTTCTTGATAAATTATCAAGATTGAAAATGCTATTGACAAATTGAAATCGCGCTGTTAGTGTCCTTAAATTTCGAAATATTGAAGTTTCAAGCATTTCTGAAATTTACCGTTATATGAAAAGCGGCCTCAATTTTAGTCTGATTTCAATAATTTTCAACGTTTTGCTTTTATTTGGCAAGCACAATAGCCATACCGAGTTTGGTATAAATTGGTAGACCAGTTACCGAGATACATATATGTGTGATCATAAGTGGGCGGTGGCACGCCCGTTTTCCAAAATTTTATCATAATCGTATTTCTTGGTGAAGGATTGTCGCAAGCATCAATTTTGAATAAATTAGCTTTAATATTTACTGATTTATCGAAGATTTCGTATTTCTCCAAATTACCGTTATATGGGAGATAGGTGTGGTTATTGTCCGACTTTTCCCATTTTCAATGCCATCCGTCCTACGCCCGAAAGAAGTGCACGTACAAAGTTTCGTTAAGATATCTCAATTGTTACTCGAGTTATCATTTGCACAGACTGACCGCCGGACGGACAGACAGTCACCGCTTAATCGATTTCTCTTTTCATTCTGATCACTTATGTATACATTTGTCTATATCTATCTTGATTCGTTTTACCTGTTACAAACAACCGTTATGTGACCAAAGTTATAATACCCTTGTGCACAAGTGCGCACGGGTATAAAAAATAACGCGCAAGTTTAAGTGTCAAGTGCAACAACGCGCAAGGTTAAGGGTCAAGTGTCTGTCAAATGAGATGGGTGCCTTTACATTTGATATTGTCACATGGTAAACAAACATGGTAGGTATTACCATGTTTATCAACAAAAAAAAATGTGGGTTCATTTATCTATTAAAACTTAGTTGAAACGAACCTTTAAACCTTTATGGAAAGTGGTTCGGTTTTCGGTTCGGATCAAACATTTGTGGAAAATTTCGGTTCGGTTAATGGGTCAGTTAATTAATAGAAAAAATCGATGATCCGGTTTAAAACCGGTTCACGTCCCTGGTAATAACTCGACTACAGCGCCACCTGGCAGCACTTTTTTGCAACAGTATAACCAAATCGGATCATAAATAAGATTTTTAGGAAAAACTCTACAACTACAGCGCCAACTGGCTTGTTAAATTTTAAAACTAAACCATCCAGAGACCCACTCAAACACACACAAAAAAAATTTGTTAAAATCGGGACACCCATTTAGGAGGATTTCACTCACAAACACGCCTACGAATTTCGTTCTTCTAACTTTTTCAGCTTAAAAATTACCTATTCGTCCTGGTGAATCCAAAAAATTAAAATTTTTTTAAATTCTAAAGCAATTTCCTATTGTATTTGTTACCCATATTTTTATTCTACATTGCACAGGTATTGTCTTCCTAGAGAGTTTTGTGAGCAATTTTTTGGCGTTTTTATTTTTGCTCTCTGACCGCAGGATTTATTTTGTAATTTCAAAGATATGATTAATTCCAAAAATTATTAAAAAATTCAATGCAATGTAGAATAAAAATATGGGTAACAAATGCAATAGGAAATTTCTTTAGAATTAAAAAAAATTTAAATTTCAAAAATTTTCAATGTAGCGCTTAAGAAGCTTAAGCGCAATGTGTATACCACATTTGGTTGAGATCGATCAAGTAGTTTTTGAGATACGCATATGTCATATAAGTGGGCGGTGCCACCCCCATTTTCCTGAAAATTCCAAAAAAAACACTTCTTTGCTAAAGAACGATTGTATATGTATATATACAAAAATTATTTAGTTATTTTAGATTTTCAGAACAAAATCACGCACGAACAGCGCAGTGGATGTGCTTAATTCTTTTCTGCATTCTACTCGATGTTTTCTGTAAGTTTGTGGTAAAAAGTTTGGAAAAATAGGATTGCCTTATAGTTGAAAATTTAAAATTATTTAAAGGTCTATAAAAAATTTAAGTTTTTTCATAAAAACAAAAACCGTGTGAAGATATTCAAAGATATTTTTGAACTGGGTTGCCACCTTTCTAAAAGCTAGAACAATGAGTATTAAAATTTTAAGCTTATTTAATACCACAATATGGGTATCATACGAAAGCTGTAAAGGCTTTGGACTAACATGTTTTTAAATAGGTAGCGACGATATATTGCACTCATTTTACTTTTTTATATAGGTGACGAATCTATCCACTGTATGTAATGTAGGGGCTAAAGCTTCATTTTAACTCTTTTTGTTTGAAACTCATACTTTACTTAACCGCATGTAGCATTATTTAAAAAATTGTGTATTATAGATAAATGGCAACCCCATTTTTCAAAATTTTATACACATACCCCCAGAAATAATCGAGTAGAATTTAAACAAAAAAATAAATAAACACATCATGAAAACATAAAATAACTAATTTTTGTATATACAAGATAGGATTATCTGTTATTAAAACAAACTTAGTAAAATTTTAAAGTTCAATAAACATCATAGTGTTATGTTTTGAAGTCTTCTGAAGAAAAATAGTCTTATTCTATAAAAAAAATTAATTTTAAGGATTTTATAGCAATTCTACGAAGAAATTTATTTTCTCCATGTAAAATAAGTGGGAAACTTCTAAGTCCCGGTGGCACGGGTAGGCTTACCAGACGTCCTCCTTTGTGCCTAAAAAAGAAATTTCCACCTTTATGACTAAAATGTTCTCCATATTTTTGTAAAAAAATAATAAACAGTAAATATAGAAAAGAAAAATAGCCAAAAGTGGTGAAAATGTTACTTGACTTAATCAGCTGACCACAAGTGAATATGTACATATTTTTTATTTAAAACGTTTTTATCAAAATATATTGTCCCTCAAGCGTCCTCGTTTTGAATCATACCTGGAGTAAATGTCCTCCTTTATTGTTTCAATTGTCCTACCAAGTTAAATGTTCATCTAGTAACCCTAGGCACGGGTAAATATTAATCGATTTCAAAATAAAAAAATTACGTGTCTCCTTATTTTTTATATTCTTCAGATCTGGAGGGTGGCTGGAGGAAAAAACATTTGGGGCTACCCTAATGTACATACATACATAAATCTGTTCTACATACTATTATGTAAGAATTTGTCTGCACAGACGACTCAGCCAGCACACGTCTGATATGCTAGCGTGACCTATGCACCTGCTGCTCAGCAGCTAATCGAATCTGTGCCACTTCGCCACTGACACAACTGACATGTGCCTCTTATTTCCGTTCTACATTTCTGTTCAATTTTCACTGATCCTTTTATGCACACTTTCTCCATTTTCAGGTCATACTCGTTTTGAAGGCATTGGATATGTATGCATCTACGCATCTAACGGTCATAATTCAAATCATTTCGCACGTACTGGCGTACACGAACTCCTGCATTAATCCGTTTCTCTATGCTTTCCTGTCGGAGAATTTCCGCAAAGCATTCCGGAAGGTAAGTGATAGAAACAATAGTTGTGTTTTTTTACAAATTATCCAGTAACTTGCCAGTAACTCTCCAGTAACTTTATTTCTAAGAATTCGCTCTCGTAGAAAAAATTTGCAAAAAAGTACGCGAACGCTTTTCCAGTAATAATTTGCAAGTTTCATGAACAGCTCATAAATTGGTTGTTTATTCGCAGCAAATTCCTTATAGAACAATATATTTTGTATTTAAATAGGTTTATTTTGTGAAATTCAACAATAAAAAGCCACAAACAGTTTCCTTATTAGTTTAAATTTCATCCAGCAACATGCGATCAGCTGTTTTTCGTACTGGCAAATTCTTACAAGTAAAAATTTATCCAGTAAAATCCAGTAAAAACTTGCAACTTCAGCTGTCATTTTTCGCTCTCTCAATTTCCCCTACTTTGCAAGTTTTTGCGTACGAAAACGCCAAAACATGAAAATTCGTAAAAACTTTTACTGGATTTTACTGGAAATGAGTAAAAAAACGCAACTAATGACAAAGAGATCTATGAATACAGAATTTGATTCAAATTTTAAAGCAAAAAAAATCTTTCTTTTCTCCGCCACCATTTGCGTCTTCAGGTCGTTTGGTGTGGTACACCGCCACCACTAATTAACAACCAACAGATCACCAAGACGACGCGCACAACCAACTGCAATGGCACCTCTAACGTGGAAATGTTATAAGCCCGCAATGGTGAAACAACCGACAACAAGCAATGGCCACCCACAAGCCAGCAGCAGCTGAATCAGCACACGCAAGCACTTCCATGGCTGCGGCAAACCACAGGTGGTGTTTCAGCAACTGTAACTTTAACGCAGTCGAATTTGTTGTTATTTCACATTTAATACAAACACTTATAGTATGCAGATGCATTACATATAAAGCTTACTTCGAATGCAGCGTGTCATTTGTATGTATATAAGTATATACAATGTACATTAGAGTGGTCCAAAAAAAATTTTCCGAGATAGGGTTTGGGGCACCTTCCAAAATTGTTCCTCTTGTCGAACGAGGTGCTGGTACCAAACTTTACGTTTCTAAGTATAAATTTAGAGGGTGTTCATGATGCTCATATTTTACTCTAGAAGTATTGTGTACATATATATATTAATAAAAAAATTGGTTTAGTAACCTGAGGATATTTCGAATTTAAATTATCTAAAAAAATATCACAAGCTTCAGTTGTCATGGCAACAGTCGCTTTTTATAAAAATCACCAATATTTTTGCCAGTTTTACACCGATCCAGTAGCGCATTTCAAGGTCATTGAGCACCTTGTATTGGTTGCAGTAGAAAACTGAATGTTGGTATAGATATTACAAATATCAGAAGGAAAAAACTAAGGGGGTGTCCCGTTTTCTAGGATGTAAATATTTTTCCCCCAAATGAAAATTGGACCACTCTAATGTACATACATATGTAGATATTTGGAATATACAGTGAAATTTCGATACAACGGAAAACTCAATATAACACAATTTTTGCATAGTCCCCTGAAAACCTTCGTTGTTGCGAAATTTCCCATAAAAAATGTTACATAGATATAAAGAAGAAATTTTTTAGCATGAAAACCTTCGGAATATATTGAGTCCTGTTGGCAAAAACCTCCCGTTAGAAAAAGCCTATATATAGTAAATTACGAATGTGTTGACGGTTAGAAAAACCATCCATATAACGAAGTCTCGACTCAAACGCCTCTACGTAACGAATTTTGAATATGTTGACGGTTAGGTTAAAAATATTAATCTCTCAGATGTATGAAAATAAGTATGCCGAAAGTGCCCAGAGCGTGAGGAATGCAAAAATAAACATAAACACGAAATGCCCGTGATCGAGGAATCAGTTCACTACAGAGATTTTTGTTGTTACTTAAAGTGCAAGAAAACGTTACGAACTTTCATTCAGCTGTGAAACCAAATGTTAATTAAAATTTATTTTACTAACATACCTACATGCACACTTATATTTGGAGAAGGAACAAAAATACATAAATTATAAACTACGCGCAAACCTCACTTTCCAAAAACATACATACCTACATGCAACATTCAAACATAAACAATCGATTTGCAATTTAACACTTTGTCCATTTGTGCTCGAACAAAGGGTCCGGGCCATTTCGGGCAGGAAGAACAAGACCTTTACGAACCAAAATTGGGACGTGATCGCTCTCCATTACCCATTTTTCGGGCGTAAGAAACGCTCTCTGGCTGTTTTGGATAATTGCAAGTGTATGTAGAGATAACGAAACATTTGTCCAACCCCTTCAACTTCGTTATATCAAGGTTTCACTGTATCTGCATATATTTTTATGCACGCGCGCATAAGGAATGTCTACAGACATACATACATATATACAAATGTATGTGTGTATTCCAACATACATACATATGGCACACCGTCTTCAAAAGGGTCACAACTCAAAATTTGGCATTTTTGAGATTATGCGCTAAAAATGTACACAGAGCTTTCATTTACCTTTCAGCAAAGCTGGAGCAAATTTTTGTTATAATTGTTATAAACCTAAGGTAAAGTCGCCCTTGCCCATATGATTATCATGTGGTAAGAAATAGTTTTTTGCATTTTCTGACATTTATTTTGAGTTGCGACTCTTTTAAAGACGGTGTGCGATATATAGGATAGGTGTCCCGCGTGGTGCACTATAGCCAACCTGAATTGATTTGCTTATTACCTACATTGGCATGTATGCACGAATGCGTTTTAAATTTGCATCGTCTGCATAACTGCACTTACATATGTAAGTGCATAGGCATAAACATATTACATGTAGTTATGCATGAATGTATGTATATGCATAGCATCGTTATGCCCCAAAGTCCCTAAAGAGCAGCAAATATATGAATGCTCAAAATAATCGGTTTCTTTCAGATTTTATTAGTATACCTACTTATGTACATATTTAGAAGGATATAAACTTGAATTATTCGTACTTACAGCCAAGCTGATTTTAATAAGATTAGTGGTATGACTTAGCTTTTAACATATGCAGCATCAAAATAAATGATGTAAGGAGCGAATTCTCGATTAAGTTTCAAGCTACTTAAGACCTGCCTATACGATAATTAGGTATAATATAAAGTTGAATGATTCCATACCTAATTCTTCTAGCATGCCCGCGCGTTCTATGAATTCTACATAGGTGTAGGCTCATTCATCTAAGCGGGGTTATTAGAAATTGACATTATAGAGGTTGTACGAAAGATTCACTGCGATGATCCGATAGTCTTACTTCCGTTATTTCTTTCAGGCTGGTAAAATATGGTGAATCAATTCGTCCCTTTCTTCCGTTCGAACCGTTAGGTCAGCATAACATTTTTCACTTATTTAAAATCGTATAGAAACTTAAAGCGGAAGTCTCAGAACAATACAAGGTTGACGACAGACGGTTGCTTGCTAGAAGGAATGCCATGCTACAAAATATATATCTTTAGGTTGGGTTGGGCGGCAGTCCTATGTGGACACACTTAAGGTATTGGTCCTTTGTTATACCGCATAAGGTTTGTAGTTATCCCGGTTCTCCTATAAACCACTTGTGCTTAGCAAGAAAGTGCATATGCTTCTAGCATCCATTGATTCGAAGCCATCGTGCTCATTGACGAAGTAACTACCAAGAACTTTTCCTCTCCGGTTTGGTAGAGCTGGGCAATGGTAGAGAATATATTGGACAGTTTCTTCGGGTGCGAATATTCTGCCTCCGTAGATTAAATAGATACGTTCAACGTCTATGACTAGCCAGAGTGTTTTGGCAATATAACACGCCGGTTCCATTCGAAATCTTTTATTGGCTATTCCTATGACTTTTCCATTCAGTACAAACTTACATGTTTGAAGAGGGATTCCAAGAGTATCCATTATATCTGTATCAGGTATGGGCAGAGAGTTAGCAGGTGCTAAAAGAGCGTAAGCGTCGCGTGTACGTATACAAGCGAGAGCGCAGCGATGAGAACACGACAGCGTGCAAAATGAATTAGGCACACTAACACATTCTCACTTTTAGCTCACGGTTGTGCCCACCTCTGATCTGTATCAAGCAATGACGTTCCATTAAAAGCGAGGTCCCCGGCTTTGCAATTTCCCATAATGTCGCACAATATGTGTGCCAAATGCATAAACCATCCATTTAAGAGATCGGCGGCATTGAGCAAATACCTTAGAATTGTTCCGAATAAACTCAATCCATAACTATTTTGTCAAAATTTGATCCATCCGTGTAAACATGAATTGATTCTCTTACGCTGTATCTACTGACAATTCATTCCTTGAGGAAAGACATGTCATGAACCTGGTGTTGGAAGCGCGGGCGAGTGGGTTGTAGTAGGTTGTAGGAAACTCAGTAACGTCATTCAGGATTTTACAGTGACCGATATGTGGATGCGTCCATTTTTTGGTCGCATTGAGCCTAATGGCGGTGTTACGTGCCATCTTTCTTGCATACAGATCCGTCTCGAAATAAATGTTAGTAGCGCGTTGAGCGTTTTGTTGGCTGTTGCTCACGTTATCAGTAGAGAAGCCGGCTGTTGAACCTTATCTACTTTCTTACCATTTATGTTTCAATTGGTAGCATCCCACCAAACCACTTCACCGTAGTAAAGAATCGGTTTTCGGTTTCCATTTTATGATCTCAGGCTCCAGACCCAAATTTTGTCCTACATCCTTGGTGCAGCAGACTCTCTACCTATCAGACTAGAGTTTCAAAAGTTAGTATCGGATTTCTGTGATGTACATACCATTAATGACGAGTGTGTGTTTAAACAGATCACACACTTCACAGTCCTTTTTTTATTGTCACTAGTGATAAGCGATATTTCACTACCGGTGATTTTATCACTGTGATTTAAAAATCGCTTATAGTGACGAAAAACGAAGTGAAAAATGGCCATTTGGAGCGAATAAATAAAGCTTTTCCCTACATGTACCCACACTGATTTGTCATCATTTATTAGAACTATTACACATTTCTGTGTGAACTAGCGATCGCAATAGTCATAAAAAATCACTGTGATTTAAAAATCGCAATCACTTTTTCACTGATACTGAAAAATCGCTATTTCGCCCACCACTAATTGTCCCCCGGACGAACAGAATAAACTCCGGACTGTCCGGCTAAAAACCGGACACCTGGCAATCCTGCCTGGAGGAGTAGCGATTTAACTTCTCTGCTTTAGAAAGAAATATCACTCTGACATCCTTTCAACCTTTGGGTGCATATTCTTCTGTCAATCATGTTTAAATGAGAGTCACTAGATGGAGAATACAGCCACCTCATTCGATCCTTCGAATTTAAACGGATCGAACAATTTGATGGTACACGCTAGTTCATCTCTTTGCCTATGTCTTTATCACATTTTCTGCATGAACTATGACTGATGTTTAAGTTCCGTGCAGCCTGAATAATATGTGGGCATCAGGTTTTCCAAGAATTATTTCTGGTTAGAGCCGTCCGGGTGCATAATAATTCTCATTGGCCGATCAGTTTTAAAAAGTATCTAACGAAACCATATAGGCTAACCTAATATTCGCGGCTTGCGTTTTGGTATGCACGCCTTCGAGTTTGTTTTTTTGCGTCACCCGAAATTGGCTTGCGTGCGTTTGCATTTGATTTCATTGAGCGAAACGTCAAATCAAAATGTCACGCAGAACAAAAATTGGAAGTTGAGTTAGTTTCATACGCACGCCGTTCAATTTCGGTTGGTCACATACAAGTTGTATGTGCATGAAAAATGTTTGACAGTAAATTGTCGGCGTGCATGAATATTAGGTTAGCCTGTTAATGCCTGATTTGTTGGCTTCCAATAATTTGACTTTTGTAGTCGATGAAGCATAATAAAGATGGACTCACATCTGCCTTTGTTATTTTCTTGACCGAACACATGTAATAAATAAATAAAAATCACCAAAATCGGGCAAGCGGTTAA